TTAGACTGATTTTGTCTCCTCAACGCAGAGGGGAGGACTGATTAATCAATTAAACACACTCAGTTTTTTCCAAAAACACTCATAAATTTGAGGGACATTTATTCAGCAAAATGGTAAGATGACGGACAAAGTTTAAGTAAAGATTTACCATAACATTCGGTTTTCGCAATTTCAAAATGAAATTATTGAAAACGTAGTTTATACAATTTTAATTTTTTTCTCAAAAGTCTGGATGCCAAGGGTAAAAATTCAACACAGATTCATAAATCACCGATGCAGCAGAATATTATTTTATACAATTCAAAGAACCTGTATTCGGCAAAATTGTAAGAGAAAGTCATCATTTTTTGGAGAGGCCATAAAGGAATAAATCTTGATTAACTATTGCATCTTAAAACGTTCGCAAGATTTTAGAGCATTCGGTTTTACAATTTCAAAGTTTAATTATAAAATATAATTTTGAATTTTTTTCCTAAAAAAACGGACTGGTGAATTACTAATGTAAATTTTTGGATGACGTTATCTTATTGTTGGTGGGGATGATTAGCCAAATTTTGGTTAGCGTTTTACCATCTACACAGTAGAGAGAGAGAGAGAAACGGACAGACAGACAATCGTCATGAAACGCCGAGAAAACAAAAACAAGCAATTGTCCAATGGACTCGATTACATATTTTGGCTTTCGCTCAGAAAGTCAAAATATGGGTATTAATCACCCGAGATATTGCTAAACAAGTTTTGTATTTTTTATGGAAGCAAATCAATCAACATTCTCAGATTTTCGGAATTTACCAACTCATCGAAATAAATCCACGCCTCGGAGCTCTGAAATGTAAAATCTAGAAGCTCATCTTTCATATTCTGGTAACCGAAGCATTCCACCAAAGTTATATGAACACGTGAACAAAAATTTTAAACCCCCGAAACACAAAATAATTCGGAATTTAAAAATAATACACATTAATGTAATGCAAAATAAACATTAAATACGCCTTCCACTGCTAGTCCATCATCATATTAATTGAACTGATGATAATTTCAAGGCCTTTTCTCACAAAAGGAATCGATGTTTAACGTTAATTTAAATTTTTATTTTAAAATCTCGAGTGAGAAGTTGTGAAGTGTGAATAATGTAATAACTAGCACTTGCAGCGTGTTTTTTTAAGAACATTTTCCATTATTGTTATTTCAAATTAAACAATCGTCATTAATAAACTGATACTGCGCTAATTACGCACATTATGTGGGAACTGTGGCTTCGAATGTGATTCATTTTTAATTTTTCAAATACGGTTTCCCGGCGTTGTTTTTTTCCCCAGGACACCACAATATTTTACTTACATTATCGCGTTTAAGATAGTCCGGGGATTTTAATTCTTGCAATATGCAAACTTTATAAGGATACATTTGCAAATTTTTCTTTTATATTCTTTGATAACTGGAATAACCACCATAGTGAAGTGGACAGGAGTTCTTCCATTATTACACTATAGTTGTCAGTAACATTTATTTTCATGTTTTCGTTTCACAGTCTTTCGATTTTTCACAATTTCGATCTGCAATTTTTATTTTAAAATTTTTCCATTTGCGGTTTTCGTGGTACTTTTTTCGATTATACAATCTTTCGTATTTACTGTTTTCCGAATTTTCACATTTTCGCTTTTTCAGTTTCTCAAATTTTGATTTTTAGATTTTTCAATTTTTCATCTTTCGATCTTACTTTTTTCCAATTGTACAGTTTTCCATTTTACAATATTTTAATTTTGCTAGTTTTTTCTTTCAGTTTTCCGTTGTCCAATTTTTTTTCGAATTTGTGAATTTTGGAATTTATCAATTTTTCGTAAGTATTTTTAATATTTCGATTTTTCACATTTTTGATTTTTCAAAGTCTCAGTGTTTAATTTTTAGATTTTTCAATTTTTCGATCTTATCTTTTCCAATTGTAGAATTTTTTGATCTACAATTTTTTGCTTTGCGGTTTTTCGATCGTGCTTTTTTCGATTTTACAATTTTCAGTATTTTCAGCTTTTCGTATTTATAATCTTTCACTTTTACAGTATTCAATTATTCATACAAATTTTCACAACGGGGTATTAAAACATTTTGTTTTTGAAAAAGTTACCAAAAAGTTTCCAAAAAATTCTGCAACATAGATTTCGTTATGCTGATTCCAAGAGTATAGCGCTTTAAAATATTCCGTTTGATTTTTTTAATCCAAAAAATTGCGTATTTCATTTGGCGATTCTAGAAAAATGGTAGCAGCTAACTAAGAAAAGATGTCCAAACTAATTTCTGGAGGTTGAAATCTATAAAAAAAATGTCTTTAGTTCAATTTTGAAAATTGTCGAAGATTGCCGAAATTTTAATTTTAGTTAGAAAAATTTTGCTTTTGAAAAAGTTACCAAAAAAATCTCCAAAAATTCTGGGACAGATTTCGTCATGCTAATTTCAAAAACGTAGCGTTTTACGGCCCAAGATTTAAAAATATTCGGTTTGAAAATATGTAGATATATATTTCTTCTCTAATCCAAAAAATTGCAATAATTCAATGGGTGATTTTGGAAAAATGGTAGGAGACACAGAAGAAATGAGGTCTAAACTAACTTCTGGGGGTCGAAATCTATAAGAAAATATCTTTAGTTAAACTTCGAAAATTGCCGAAGATTGGCCGAAATTTTCATTTTCTTGTTTTTGATTCTTGCAACATTTGATCTTTATAAGGGCCCATTTGCAAATTTTTATTTTATTTTCTGACCTGACCTGACCTGATCTGATCTGACCTGACCTGACCTGACCTAACCTGAAAGCGAAAAATCAATTTCATTTAAATTTTTGAGACCACTAATGATGTAAGAAAAACTTACTTATTTGTTACAAGTCTTGTAACGGTGAGATCATTAATGGGACATGCAACAACGGTACGTAATTTTTTCGACAAAAAGTGATTTTACTGTATCTCGATTCCGACAAAAGAAGTCTATAATGTTTCTTCGGTAGTGTCTAGAGTTCTCTAAGCTGAAAACAGTGGTGAAAATCGCGTTCCGAAATTTCCATAAATAACTGATTTTTAAAAACACGTAATTAAAAATTTCACCGAAATAAGAAAAATGTTGATGCTAAACTGTTTCTAAAAATCTGTCATTGTGTTATATGTATAGAGAAATTTGTGGACAAGTTATATTTAAAATTTCGTAACAGTCGGTCTGTTAATAATGAAGATATTTATTACGACCTGAAAATTTAGAACAGAAAAACGCAGGGACTGGTCTTTAACGACAAATCTGTACTCTTCTAAACTTCACTTTGCATAAAAAGTAGTGCCTTGTGCAGCATTTGTGGTAACTCACATTGTACGAGTGTATTACTCATATATATCTAATATTTACCTTTTTTTCCTAATTTATGGTTCATTAATTCATTACTCTGCTTAGTTACACACCCTTGCAGCTTTCGCACCCATGCCATTTCTTAGAAGTATCACTTAAAAGTAATTTTAAAAGCATCTTCTCAAAGTAACAATTTAATACCTGTTACGATCTACAAGAATTCCATTTTAAATTCTCCCGTTGCATTTAACCCTTGACACGCCGTCTCGTGAGATTCCGCAACTGAAAGGATGCAATTCGGAAAGTCGTTTCTAGACGCCACCGCTCGCACGTTTGAGGTTGATTGTTGGATTCGAAAAATGGACCGTCATTGCGACGGAATGTTACAAATCTCCGACATTTTCGTTTTATACATACATCAAAACCGAACGAACACATCCTCTCCGTAATTTCTTGATATTCAAAACAGAAGCCCCGAAAAAATAAGCCGTAAACAAGAAAATGAAATTCCACCTCTCGGACCGAAGGGCATAGTCCCTCAAAAAAAAATTATTCTGCTGGATTTAAATCTGAATTTCGTTTTGTTTTTGAAACGAATTCAAATTTAATCAAATCTCTCTCAATTTTAATATTTATTGCTACGTTCGTATACCGCATATGCGATGTCAGGGATTATTGTGGAGGAGTGTTTATAGAAACGGGATGTTGTATATTTTGCCAACTCGGCTTGAATTTTAATTATGATAATGGCGAAATGTTTTGAAATCTTGTTTGGAGTTTACGCTGTACATGATTTCGAACTGTCTACTTCTGTATAAAGATGCGTAGAATGAAAATGAAACTTATCCACCTACAGAAGCTCTCCTTTCTAGAAATTAGTCTTTAATATTTAAGAATATCAAAATTGTCAATACATTGTCGATAAGGGACAGATTTTTCGAGAACATTTTGACTTGCAGTCCTAATTGTCATAATAATTGTTCAGTATAAATTGTGAACATCAGATTAATGTTTTACTCCACGCAGAACATTGTAGGCGATCGCAGCGTTTTATTAATTCTATTCATTGCACCTAAATCTAGTTAATATGAAGTCCATGAGCCCACGAATGTCCCCAAATCGGTCATTAAAAAGTCATTACCATTACGGAGGTCCGCAAGGGTCAAATGCCCATATTGTCGAATGAGTAATGGAGGAAGCTGTCAGCGCACCTCTATCAGATTATCGCCTATAACGCTCAGAAATAGAAAATAAATAGTCCTCCGCCAAACTTGATAAAACACATTAAGACTCAAACTTGGAGCTTATCGACTAGTCAACTTCTGACCGAAGCCCCATCTCTAATCCCTCCTAAGCGGCTCCAACTCGTCTCATCCGCAAGATTAAAGACTCGTCAGTTCATCCTGCAGGTGCAAACTTTGCCAAAATAAATACGACTCTCAATTAAATATTTAATTAAAGCTCCCTTACGTGAAAACAAATACGGCGTGTTGTCTCATCCAATAATTCCAGACGGCCGGAAAGCCGTATTGACGCTGGGACACTTCCAGATAGTTGTTCATTCTTAATTAGAAGGAAAACAGAACTCCGGACGGCATCGCTATAATTGTCCGCCGTGTTGTTTCAGGATAGTAATTAATTTTGTCGGGCGCTAATTTTGATTATTCTCGGCAGGTGTTTAGCCAAGCAGAGATATGGTTCAGCCTGGATGGGGATCGTTACCAGCCGAATCCGATAAGGGCCACAGTTCCGGCCGACCGTGCCCGGGAATCAGCCCGGAACATCACCGTGCAACTTCGAGGTCGGCCGGCGAAGTTTATCAAACTGAGACTGTCTTTTGCAGACAAGTGGATACTGCTCAGCGAGATTTCCTTCGAGTCCGGTGAGTAAAGCGGTCCACGGTTTCCAGATGGGAAAGGTGCTCGTAGAGGTTGCTTGGACTTTATTTGAATTATTGCGAGTAGCATCGAGCTTTCTCTTCCTTGAACGTGCTTTTTGCTCAAGGCGGATTCATAAACCACAAATATATATATCAAATTTTTTTTGTGGTCACTCAATTAATTTCATCGAGAATCTATAATTAATTAATTATTTGGCCAAATTGGTCACATCCGATTTTTTCCACTCGTATTCGCTAATCGCTTTATATAATAAAACCCGCCACCCAAAACAACATTTCTGTGCACTCCGCTCCGAATCGTCGATCCGAAACGAAATGAATTATTTAATAACGCTGCACATTTTCGAAATCGTAAATATTTGTTTAAATAATTACGAAGCGGACGCTGACACCGTCGCGCTAAAAAATTCCGAGCACACTTCGTGCCAAAATTTCCCCATTGTCGCTGTTTACTTCTTTTTTAAGACGGCACTTAAAAGGGATTTGCACGTTACATTTTTGCGCGTCCTCTTAAACTTTCTTTCATTCGAACCACTTACGATTCCATACGCGATCACTTTTATACCGCGGGCTTTTTACTCTTGAATCAAATGATCCGACATTCGGTTTGATGGACTGCGGAAGGCGAGGCAATAAATATACAGGTTTTTGCAATGGGTGCATCGAAATTGGTCGAAAGACGATTTAGTGGAGACAAGACACCAAGAATAATAAAAATTTTATAAGTTGTAAAGCGTGACTATTTTATTTCAAGTCGCTTCAGATTTGTGGATAAATAATACAAATCGTTGGGATTATTTATAATTTGCGCTCATTATTTTGGGTATAAATAATAATCATGAGTGCTAGTGTTGGCAAAAATTTAACAGCCAGTGGCATAATATATACGAGTAATTATTTATTATTTGGACTTCGCTAACATTAAATAAACATTAATGTTGGTTATCTAGTTTTATTAGTTATTTTATGAAGGTAAGGTATAAACATTAAATAGAATATTTCGGCGAAATAAGCTAGATCTACTGTTACAATTGTGCCGTGTCTTCTCGTCCAAACACTCTTTCTTTATCTGACTAGGTAGTAAAGCTACCGACTCGTTTCCTTACATAATTTTTAATGTGATCGCATCCTCTGACCAACGATCTCATTACCAGAGGTCTCCCCAACCTGTCAATTGTCATATTTTCACGGCTGCAACAATATTTCTTAAACGTTAACTAGTTAACTAAAGAAATAATGTTTGCATGAGAAGTTAAGGCACAATTAAATAGATCAAACGATTTTATGTACGTTGTGATAACCCAAACATCCCGCCTTAAATTGACACGTGAAAAAAAAATTGAAAAACCGCGAAAAATTCAAAAATTCAAAAATTTGGCCTTGGCTGTGATCGTCTGACAAAATGGAACCCTACATTGTGTGACACAAACTTATTTATTCCTCAACTGACAAAAAAAAAGCTGCGACTAAGTTACACAGGTTGATGACCTTCTTAGTGCTCAGCTACAAAAAAAAACTTTCCAAACTTTGAATGAAATCAAATTAAACGTTCTGAACAAATGTAAATATTTGAATATCACAAATTTAATAAAAACAAAGAAAAATCTGAATTAAAGTAACTGGATGCAAATACACAAGTTATTACGGACGTATGGCGACAAATTTAAATTTATGGCAGTCAACAAAAGAACAAAATTTTTTATGAAAAACTATGCAGCGGCAGCGGCACCAGAGCTCTATAAGAGTCTGGCGATCGAATTATCTCAATTTCATTCTAGAACACAGCAGAATTACCCATAAGGGGCGTTGTCGCATGGGCGGAGTTTGGGGCCCCTGGTCGTGGCTGTTCTTCCACCGCGGCTATAAATAAGCTGACAACGTCATATCATCCCGACCGTCCCTGACTTCTATTCAAGACCTGCATCTTTGCTGCAGATGGCGCGGCCGCCAGCTCGACAAGGAACCGCGCACTCTGCTTCCGCTACGTGTTTCTGTATTATTTAACCTCACTTCCATTTAAATGTTCAATTTCTATAACTCTGACATTAAACTACAACTGAACAAGTGTTAAAGTTTCAAAAAGAGCAATAAACAACATTTAAATTCGCCAAAATTTAAAGCGCCAAAGAATTCTTGTCTGAGATTAAGATTGAACAGCAGACAGTTTTATGATGGAAGCATTAATCAACAAAATATTTACAAAACAGAAAACTAGCAAAGATTTATAAAAACAAAAAAAGATCTGGTATGAAATAAAACTTGTAGATTGTGTAGATAAAAAGTTACGTGAGATTAGGAACTGCAGAACATTGAAAGTTTACGTTCAATTTAAATTATACAACAAAGAAAATTAGTGAGGTTAAAATTTTGAGATAGAGAAAATTGTATGAGGTGAAAAATTGCAAACCTAACAAAATTAAATTAGGATAATATTTTATGTCCATTCGAGTTATTGTTTAATTTTCAAAAGTGAAGTTATTCAGTTGCATTGTGGGCCATCATTTTACATTCCCCCAAACAAACACAAAAAAACATAGCACATGACCCACAATGTCGTTAATTTGTTCAACGAGATTTTACAGTTCAAACATGTGCTCGGTTTGAAAATACTCTTTCAACATGGCCACTGCCAGAACAAAGAATTTACCTGAAGTTAAATTATGCCACACTTTATCAACGATTCAAATAAAGAGTTTACATTGCGTTAAATTATGCCACACTTTATCAACAATTCAAACAAAGAGTTTGCATTATGTTAAATGATGCCTTGATCGAAGTGACTGGCTACTTAAAACCATTTAGTTTTGAGAGTTTATAACGTGAACTGTCCCCAGCTTGTCCCAAACAAAACACATGATAAATAAACAACACAAAATGTATCAGGCGTTGCGAGAAAAGCATATACGTGTTCTTCCTAAAATGATGATGACGTCATCAAAAAATTATGTGTAAAAATTCACAAGAAGCATATGATGCTTCTTTATCTGTACTTTAATAATCCAGATCTATATATATTAATTATTAATTAAACAAGACACGTGCGGAGCCACCTTAATGCCAATTTACAGGTTGTGGCGACCTCTGGTGGTGGCTAAATAGGAGATGATTGTTGTTCAGAGGACGTGATTACTTTAAAAATGTGCGTAGAAGCGTACGTAGCGTTACTACCTAATTAGATAAAGAAAGAGTGTTTGGATGAGAAGACGAGGCACAATAGAGTCGAAGGTCATAACATCGTTTGATCTGTATAATTATTTACAAATAACTTTGGTATTTGCATTAATCTCAGTTTTAATCTTCATGTTATAATCGTAAACATGTGATTATAACAAGATTATTTGGTTATTTGTAGAGAATTAGTGCAATTAATTCACTTAGGATAATCGAATTAGTCTGTTCGTTATTAAAATACCTATCTGATGTTGAGTATGTGTTTAATGTGATGTACATATCAATATTGTGAATTACTACTAAATTTATGTTAGTGTGAAATTTTGATGAAATATGAGTGTCATATTTTAAAAATCAGCTATTATCTACAATGTAAATATTAATTTAATTAATAAAACTGAGCAATCAATAAATTCATAATTTAACATTTAACTGAAGAAAATAATATATCAAAAAATGCTGTTTTAATTTTATTCTAATTTGGTCGACTAACAAATTTTTGACATTCTAAAATTCTAAGTTTTTGGGCCTCCAGTTGTACAAGTAAGTGTGTCATACAATGGGTATTCAGCGAATTTTGCTTTAATTTTCGCAAATGGCAAACAATTAAATTAAAACTTCCCCATTATGGACACATGGTTAATCAATCAAGTTAGCAGCTCATTTGCTTTAGTGCACCTGAGGTTTTAAATTTGTCAAATAAAAAGCAAAAGCTCCTCCATTCCCGCACTTAATCGTTCCACTTCTCGCACTTTTAATGTGTTGGATGAATTTGGCCGTTTCGGCGGTTTTGTTTCCTCGACTCTGCAACATAAGGCTATAATAAAACTTGTAGACAATAGTTTGCAATGCGGCAAACATGTTCGGCTTGTTTTTGTTGGAACTCTGGCGAAATTTGTGTTGTTTTAGGAGAGCGCTATTAAGGTAAGCACTTTGTTGGAAAAACAAGTGACCCTACCACACGTTCGCATTGTAAACAGAAGGGATAATCGGCTAATTGTTATACAAATTATACACTTTTAGCGCTCTTTTGAATAAAAGCTCTCGTCCGGTTCCAGACCGTATTTATTTACGATAAAAAAGAGCTTTCGCTCCACGTGCGATTGTACACGAAATTGTTTGCGTTTGTTGCTTTTTGTTTAATGGACGTTTTTTCGTCGCGAGCGTTTTTGAGTGTGACGCCTCGTGGAACTAATTTACTGCCCGTATTTATGTCAAAGGATATTGAATTTGAACATTAAATTGAAAAACTTACGGCTGGGACCAAAATAGAACAAAATCTAGCGGATGTACGACAAAGTGTCGCACAAGGCGGGGCTCCGGACGCAAATTTAATTAAAAACTTGACAAAAGAAGGGTTTTTGCGAGCTGTGTGAATTGTAGAAAATATCTTGAAATGGAATTTTGCTTCGTTGCAGCGTAACTAGCTATAAGCAGATTTTCCATCCAATTTCTAGCAGATTTCATTTTCATTTTGTGCGGTGGCTGTTAACAGCTGCAAGATGCGCTAATCACTGACTACATCTGAACGTAACAAGATTTTTTGCTTGAGAATCACGAGAATGTGGTGTCTTATCTGGAATGAATTCCCTTTGAAAGCAATAAACAGTAAACATTCCAAAGGCACATAATTTTCACATTATTTTTACGACTATATGAGAGCAGAGAAACAATATGACATTTCATGTTTCTAACAATACAGCTTTTTGTATTGTGACAATTACTGAATATAAAAATTTCAAGTTCTCAACTAAGCAAATACACGTACAATGGAAATAAGGCTTTTTTAAATACTTACTTACAAAAACTCA